TATTAATTGTTTAATGAGAAACTAATTTGCTCTGTAAACCTTCATCTAAAGCACAATTTAAAAAAAAAAAGAGAGAGAGATACCAAAAAAATATATGTTTTTTTAAAAGGATTGATGGCACATGTCAAAGTTCTCTGAGGACAGACGTTAATTCCCCAGCCTGGAGCAGCCCTCTTAAGGGCTCCATGTGGGAAATGGTGTATATATAAGTACAAAGAACTCAGGCTGGGAGTCAGAGCCCGTGGATTCCAGTCCCTGTTCTCGGCCGTCTGACCTCGAGTAGGTTGGGTACAACCTCTCTGGGCCTCAGTCTCCTCGTTTGCAGTAGGGTTGGAACCTGTGTCTTTCAGAATCTCTTCTCCCCACAGTCCGCTAATCCCAGTTCTCTCTGTCACTCTTGAGTTTTCAGCATTTGGCAGGGCTGTGCCCCCTGCCCCCGCGCCGCCCCAGCTTGGGGCCTGCAGCTGTCGCCTGCATTTGGCGAGGATACCCAGGGGCAGCCGTGGATTGGCCCTTGGGCCCAGCCTGCAAACCTGCTGGTTTTCCAGCTGCCCCAGCACATCCTAGGGATTCTCCCTGTGCCTGGAAAGGGCTTGGTGGCAGGTGGCTGCCTGCGTTTCCCCCCATAGACCTCAACTCCTGGGGAGCCAGAAATGAGGGTCCAGTAGAAGCCAGGGTTGGGGGAGCAACCCAGCCCCTAGGGAGCCAGGCAAGTCTTCACTGACCTCGTCAAAGGTGATCTCCTCACAGTCCCAGTTCTCAATGTTGAAGAGCATGACCACTCGGCCATACTTGTCCCGACTGAGGAGGACACCAGGGTAGCCGGCCTCAATGGTGCAGCGGATGGCCTCCAGGGACAGACTGTCGAAGAGCTCAGGGTACTGCAGCCGGAAGTGCACGTAGCCTGGAGGAGGGAGAGCAGAGGAGCTCCCTTCAGGGAGCTGCCACCTCAGATCCCACCCCACCTCACCTCCTGGGGTGGCACACGGTAGGAGCCCAGAGACCAGGGCTCCTGCCCAGCTCCTCCATGTAAATCCTGTGTGTAATCAAGCAGGATACTCCACCTTTCTGAGCCCCATGTTTCCCCACCAAAAAATGGGTTGATGATGGCATATTGTCCTGTCTCACCAAATTGTTGTGGTAATCAAACAAGACTCAAGTGTGAACATCACCTGGAAACTGTGTGAACATCAGGTGTAATCCTAAACATGGTGGCGATTATTGTTATTTTCTCTTTTCTGTGGACACATGGGCACAGGTGTTCCTGCTGGGCACAGGGTTAACTCAGTGGGGTGTGAACACTGGTACACGAGGGCAAAGTTGAGGGGAACACCCCAAGTTAAAATACAAACCCCAAGCAGAATACAGAAGCCCTTCTATGACCCACAAGCCCCATCCTTACCCATCCTCATCAGGCTGGCTGTCTCCACCACCAAACTTCGGACCCTGGAAGGGTCAAGCCCAGAGGAGACATTCAGAAAATGTTTGTCTCGGGAGAGCCACATGGACCTCCTCGCTGTTCCTGGAACTCTCCAGGCACACTCCTACTGCCTGGCCTTTATATTTGCTGTTCCCTCTGCCTGCATTGTTCTTTCCCCAGATATCTGCATAGCCAGTTAGTTCCCTCATTTCCTCTGGATCTTTCTTCAAAAGTACTCTTTGCAACTGGGGCCTTCCTGGTTACTTAAAACGCCAACCTCTCAATTCTTTTATATCCACTTCTTCTATTTTTCTCCCTATCCCTTGCCACTATCTATATATTTTTATTTTATGGAGCTAGTTTGTTGTTTCCACCATCAGAGTATAAGTTCTACAAAGGCAGGGGATTCTTGTCTGTTTTCTTCTCTGCTGTATCCCTGGGTTGGCACAGCATGGCGTTGAATTAACATTTGAGGAACGAGGGAAGAAGTAAGAAAGTGAAAAGTATTAGCCTGCAGGGTCTGCTCAGACATCCCACTGCTCCCCCCAACATGAACAACTGGATTTCCTCAGGAAACTCGTCTTCAGCCAGTCAGCAGGCCAGGGAGTTCTGTCCTCAGGGCTCATTCCAAGGGCTGGCATCATCTGCAACTCCACTTTGCAGAGGTTTAGGTACTGAGGGAGCAAAGTGCACGCCCACCTTCCCCGCAGCATTCCAGAGCCAAAGCCTAGGCTCTGGGGGTCCAGTGGCTGGGGAGAAAACACTTCCCCTCACTGGGTGCCTGATTTAGGTGATCCAGTCCCACTCATTGAATCCCAGGACTGAGAGAGAGGAGAAAGGTGCCAGACTTCCAGGAAATCTGGTCCTGACAGACTCATTCATTCATTCACTGCTGCAGTGAAAGGGATCTTGGAGGCGATTCAGTCCACACCTCACACCACACTCGCCATTTTACAGGTATGGAGGATACAGGGCTCAGAGAAAGTGACTTGCCCACTGCAGGGAAAGGGGGTCCCCTCAGTGCCTGGGTAAGGGTGAACACCATTCTTATGTTCCCTCCCTCTCCTTCCCAGGGCTGCCCCTCCAGCTCAGGCCTCACCTCTGAGCAGCTCGTAGGCACGCCCCACGTCAAACTTGCGTGCACGGATAAAGCGCAGGAAGAAGGCACTGTCCCTTCCCTGTACCCTCTCGGCCACTGCCTGGGCCAGCTCCTCCCCGGTGGCTGCCTGCTCCCGCACCAGCTCCTGCAGTTCTTGTACCGCCTCTTCCCGAGTCTCCTCCCGCTCATTCAGCTCGTCCTTGGCCTGGAACAAGAAGGGGTTTGGGGGCGAAGTCATGGGTAGCCACGGTGGAGGAGCAGGATGTATGTATGGTGAATCTCTTACTCATGCCAGACCCGCTGAGGGGGAGCACTGGGGCCACCACTCTTCTGCCCACAAGGGCACCATCTGCACTAGCAGCATCTCAGATTGTTCTATCTGGGCAAAAATTAGGCCATCAGGGAAGGTGAGGAGCCCTGGTGGCACAGTGGTTAAAGCACTGGGCTGCTAACCAAAAGGTTGGTGGTTCAAACCCACCAGAGGCTCTGTGGGAGAAAGATGTGGCAGTCTGCTTCCGTAAAGATTACAGCCTTGGAAGCCCTATGGGGCAGTTCTATTCTGTTCTATAGGACAGCTATGAGTTGGAATTGATTTGACAGCAATGGGTTTGCTCTTGGTAGGTTTGTTTGCAGATATAGCCAACAGCCTAAATGTTTGTAATAATAACAGCTTACACTTACTGAGCTCTTAACTTAGCATCTGGCTAAGTTCTTTAAATACATTATGTATTTTAATTTTTGCCACAGCCCATCACAGTTGACATTCTTATCCCCATCTCCCAGATGAATAAACTGAGGCTCACAGAAGTGAAGATTCTTGCTCAAGTTCACCCAGATAGAAAGGGGTAAAGCGGGGACTCCCACTCAGGTGTACTTTTAATCACTTAACTCTGCTGCCCCCCGCCCGGGTTCATTTTGGTCTTTTCAAAAACAAAACTACCAGGCAGATGGCAGCCTGCCTGCCAGAGGGCATGCCTCCCCTTGCTGGTCCAGGAGAACTCCTCAGAGCACCTCTCAGGCATCAGGCAGCCCTCTCCTTCGACAGCATGACAGGGGAATGCAGAGGAGGGGAAGCTAGGTGCGGGGGAGCTAATAGCACCTTCCCTCTGAGATGCCCAGAAGGCAAGGCCTGGCCAGTCCATCAGAAATCACCCAAGCCAGAGATTCTTATAAATAAATGGTGGGACTGCCTTGAGATAGATTGGGGTGTGGGGGACAGGACAGGACCCTGGGCTCAGCTCAGCCCACCTCATCCTCCCGGCAGCCCCACGACAGCTCTGCCAACCTCCACAGAGCAGAGTCTGCCAACCTCTGAGCTGGTCCAACCATCTTCTTTCATAGGTGCAGAAGGTGAGACCCAGAAAGGGAAAGAAACTTGCTCAAGCTCACACAGTAAGTTGGGAGTAGGTCTGGTTCTAGAACCCAGGCCTCTTGACTATGCAGTAGGGGCAGCAGTTGGATCTTGTCCAAACCATTGCTACTCACGTTTGACTCTAGGCTGATCCCTGGTCTGGAGGCCCCAGGCCCTGGCCCTGATTTCAGGAAACCCTGTTGGTACTGAACCCTTGGGCTAGGCTGGCCTAGGTGTCTGGTCAGTCCAGTCCCTGCCATGGCCCTGTCCTCCAGAATGGCCCCTAGAACACACCCTCAGGGTGACCTAGAGAGCTGGAACTGGACCTTCTCTACAGGAGAGAGGATGCTGTCAACCTTCCCCCACAGCTGTCTCCCTAGTCTGCCTCTCCCGGCACCCAGGCCACCTCACCTTCTGCAAGGTATGTTGGGGCAGCTGGCTACACCGGCCAAAGACAGGCCCGTGGTCCTTGGTTGTGAGCCGCTCCAGCTGGCAGCGGAGCTCCTGTTCCTCTTCAGGAACCATGCGGAATGTGCCCACCTGGGTAGAGGAGACAGGGAGAAGCAGGAGCAGGCCCATGTCAGCGTGAGTACGCCAGGCAAGTGGGCCTGCTCAGACCCTAAACAAGTTTTCTTGCCCAGGGTTTCTGTTAAGCCTCCCCTTCAGGCTGGATCTGGGACCACAGACAGGTTACAGAGGTGTGTGCCCATTCTCCTAGGCAGAACAGATGATGGAGAAACGGAGGGAGAGAGGGCAGAGAGGGAAGGAGAAATGTGGATGAAGGAGAGCCATGGGGCCCAGGGCTACTCACCCCCTCTGACATGTTGCCTCTGGAAGACGCTGAGTTCCTCAGAAGAAGAAGGGCCCCACTTCCTCTGTCCCGGCCCCTCCAGGCAGCCCCTTCCCTAGGAGAGTAAGTCAGGGCTGCAGTGGTATTTGAGAGACTGTTCTATTACAGTCTCAGAACAGCAGATCTCAAAAAAGAGAGTGTGTCGGAATTACCTGGGGCATCTGTTAGAAATGTAGTTGCCTGGGCCCCACTCTCTGTAATTCTGATTACAGGAGGTCTGGCCTGGGGACCAGAAATCTTGGGCTACACTTTGGGAAACACTGCTCTGAGAAGGGGTACACACACAAGTATCTCAAACCTCAGCCCTTCAGATGAGTTGGCCCAGCTAGGAAAACACTGTGTGATTTCAGCTACATGATCACTGCAGGACAAGGCACCCATATGATCCAGTTCCCCAGACTGTCCCTTCTCCCTTCTGTCCTCTCCTTCCCCAGCCCAAAGAAACTTCCCAGACTAGTGGGTCACCCTTTCGCGAGAGCCTTTGTTCTCTAGAGGGGTGATGACCAGTTACATAATCATAATACTGGGTGTATGTTTCGTGCTTTGTGGTGCACTAATTATTATGTTGGAGTCCTGGTGATGCAATGGTTAAGAGCTACGGCTACTAACCAAAAGGTCACCAGTTCGACACAACAGAGAGTCCCTGACGGAGCAGGAGGAAAGTGGGGTGCAGAACTCAAATTCTAGTAAAAACACCAGACTTAATGGTCTGACTGACACTGGAGGGACCCAGGAAGACGTGCACCCGGACTCTCTGTTAGCCCAGAACTGAAACCATTCCTGAAGGCTACTCTTCAGACAAAGATTAGACTGGACTATGGGACAGAAAATGATACCTGTGAAGAGAGTGCTTCTGAGCTCAGGTAGATACATGAGACTAAATGGGCAGCTCCTGTCCGGAGGCAAGATGAGAAGGGAAAGAAGGGAAAAAGGGACAGGAGCTGGTTGAAGGCACAAGGGAAATCCGGGGCGGAAAGGAGGAGTGTGCTGTCACAGTACAGGGAGAGCAGCTAGGGTCACATAACAATGGGTGTATAAATTTTTGTATGAGAAACTGACTTGAACTGTAAACTTTAACTTAAAGCACAATTAAAAAAAAAAAAAAGGTCAGCAGTTCGAATCCACCAACCGCTCCTTGGAAACCCTATGGGGCAGTTCTACTCTGTCCTATAGGGTCGCTATGAATCAGAATCAACTCGACGACATCTAGTTTTTTTGTGGGTATTTTTTTTTTTTTTTGTGGTAATTATTATGTCAGAGACATAGAGACAAGATCTTAGAACTCTAACTCCCTGCTTTTAGAAATATCAAGGTTAAAGTCAGTGCAGCAACTCTTTTCTACATTTACCCAAGCTGTTAACTTTGATTTTATGTCAGAGACATAATAATTCCCATTCCACACTGGAAGAAAAGGTCCAGGAGGATAAGTGACTCGCCCAAGGTCACACAGCCAAAAATAACCAGGGAGGACTCACACCCCAACGCAACTTCCTGTCAGCACTGAGAGGCAGCCGGGTGAGACGCAAAAGTCAGACCTGGGTTCAAATTCTGTCTCGTCCTCCTGCAAGCCGTGTGATCTAAGCTGAGTCTTGGCTTTCCCCTGTAAAACAGGGATGGAAAGGTTACGACGATTTAATTAAACAATGTACAAGTAAGTGGTGGTTGGCCGCCGGAGCAAATCTCATCCATTGCCCACATGACAACTTGCTTATCTGCTGAGTATTTTTGGAGACAGCTCTCCGGTTTCCAGACCCCTCTCACCACCTAGACATTCCCAGTTCCTTCAGTTCCTTCACCATCTTGCTCCCACATCTAATCATGTTCCACTGGTCAGTTCTGTCACCTAGCCAGGGTTGCAAAGTGGCAGAGCTGGGACTTGAACCTATGTTTGCCTGACACCAACTCTGCTTTGACACCTAGAGCTCAGACGTTGCCAGGCAAACTAAAAAGAAAGCTGGTATTATAGAAATGCTTTAGGGTCAGAGACACCTAGACTGGAATCAGGCTTTGTCATTTACCACCTGTGTGACCTTAGGCAAGTTATTTAACATTTCTGAGCCTCAGTTTCCTCATCTGCAAGCTGAGAATAATATTTTACCCCAAAAAAACCAAAAAACTAATCCCACTGCTGTCGAGTCAGTTCCGACTCATGGTGATCCCGTGTATATGCTGGAGTAGAACTGCACGCCATAGTGTTTTGTTTTGTTTTTTGTTTGTTTGTTTTTTAATATTTTATTGTACTTCAGGTGAAGGCTTACAGAACAGATAGTTTCTCATGTAACAGTAACACACATGCTGTTTTATGACATTGGTTAACAACCCCACAACATTTTAACCCTCTAAATTCTCAACTTTTTTTTTTTTTGGTGAAAATACACATAGCCAAAGATACGCCATTTCAAAAAAATTTGTTTACATACACATTTAAGTGACATTGACTACGCTCTTCTAATCGTGCTGTTATTCTCACTTAAGATGAAGGCTTACAGGACAAAATAGTATCCCATTTAACAGTTACTACAAATGTTGCCCTATGACAATGGTTAACAATCTCACAACACATCAACAATATCCTTACTCTACTTTGTGTTCCCTATCATCAGCTTCCTACTCCCCTTCTGCCTTCTGAGCCTTGTCACTGGACTCCTGTACCTCGTTATTCTCATGGTTTTACTGGGCTGTCCACTCGCAGGCTGAACAGTGAACCTCGAAGGTAACTTCACCACTGAGCTAAAAGGGTGTCTGGGGGCCATACTCTCGGGGTTTCTCCAGTCTCCTTTAGGCCAGTAAATCTGGTCTTTTTTTTTTTGTGAGTTAGAATTATGCTCTACATCCTACTCCAGCTCTGTCCAGAACCCTCTGTTGTGATCCTGGTCAGAGCAGTCAGTGGTGGTAGCCGGGCACCATCTAGCTGTACTGGACTCAGTCCGGTGAAGGTCTTGGTAGCTGTGGACAATTAGTCCTTTGGACTAATCTTTTCGTTGTATCCTGTTCTCTTCATTCTCCCTTGCTCCCGAAGGGATGAGACCAGTGGAGTATCTTAGATGGCCGCTCACAGGCTTTTAAGACCCCAGACACTACTCACCAAGGTAGAATGTAGAGCATTATCTTTATAAGTAGTGTCATGCCAATTGAGCTAGATGTTCCCCCAGACCGCCATAGTGTTTTTAATGGCTGATTTTTCAGAAGTAGATCACCACCAGGCCTTTCTTCTGAGGCGCCTCTGGGTGGACTTGAACCACCAACCTTTTGATTAGTAGCTAAGTGGTTAACCATTTGCCCACCCAGGGACACCTTGGAGACAGCAATAAACCCGTTGCCATAGAGTCGATTCCAACTCTGGTGACTTAATATGTTACAGAATATGACTGCTTCATAGGGTTTTCTTGGCTATAATCTTTATGGAAGCAGATTGCCAGGCCTTTCTTTCGTGATGATGCTGCGTAGGTTCGAACTGCCAACATTTAGGTTAGAATTCGAGTGCAAGCCGTTTGCACCACCCAGGGACCTTGGGGGATAATAATAGCACCCACCAACTAGAATTGTAATGAAGCTAATATAATTTCTAGCAGTGTCTTTCTCCAAAACCTAGTTCCCTTCTCTTTCCTTTCTTTAGCATCATACTGATCTGTACTCCAGTTTACACCAAGAGACTTCGACAATCTCAGGGAATATCTGAGGATCTCCCATCTCCTGCCTCTCCCACTCTATAGTCCCAGCAAGGGCAAAGCAGCTATGAGCACTGAAATCCACCAATGGGAACCAAATCTAAGCTATCTCTCTGGCTGGTAGACTTCCAAATATGCGGGCACAGAGACAGACTGAAATCTTGCTGTGCTCTCACTTAGGTTTTGATGGAAAAGGAATGGAGAGGCCAACAGAACTACCCCGAGGAGCTCAAACAGGAGGGATAGTGGCTGGATAACCCCAGCCAGTTAAGCAGACCACTGGGACAAGATCTTAGAAGTCTAACTCCCTACTTATAGAAATATCAAGGTTAAAGTCAGTGCAGCAACTCTTTTCTACATTTACCCAAGCTGTTAACTTTGATTTTTAAAAGTACTAATCTCCTCTTTGCTATTCCCTGAATACAATGAAAAAATGCCCACTTCTTGCTCTATTTGGACCCTGTTTTCTGCCAGAATCAACTCAACGACAATGGGTTTTTGGTTTTTGGGTTGCCAGATGCAATTCAGTATGCCCGGTTAAATTTGCATTTCTAGTGAACAACGAATATTTTCTTTAGTATAAGTATGTCCCGTGCCACATTTGGAATATACTTATACTAAAAATATTATTTGTTGTTTATCTGAAGTTCACATCTAACTGGGCGTCCTGTATTTTTATTTGCTGAATCTGCCTTCAGGTTGGTCTGGCTCAACCTGGAGAATGGCCAGTTGGTTTCAGCTGAGTCGGCAGCCTGCGATGTGGTCTCCCGACCCACAACTCCTCACCCCAATCCTGGGCTCCCTGGTCCAGGCAGGCCCCTGGAACTGACTTACCTGCGTGGTAGGCAGCTCCTCCTTGGGACCACCTGGTGCTTGAGTCCTCCTGGAGGTTGCCTCTGCCAGGGGCAGGTCCAGTCAGCAGCTTGGGATTAGTGTGTCATAAGGAACTTCTCAACGCCCACCAGATTTTCTGTTAAATCTGGGCTCACGAGGAGCCCAGAGCAGGGCAGGCGAAGCCCCAGGGGGGAGAGGGGAGAGGACTGGGCCAGGCTGAAGAGGCATCAAAGCCCTCCTTTGTGTGTGCCTACTCCCAGTTCCTGCTCAGCCATGTGGAAGCCAGGCTGTAGGGGTGGAATCTAGACCAGCTCCCGTCCCTTTTCTCTGCTCTCTCTCCTTGAGATTGAAGGGGGCTCTGGAAGAGCATTTCCCAGGCTGAGATACAAGAGGCAAGAGAAATAGCAAATGCAATCGTGGGATCCAGGCCTGTGGTCCACCCTCTCCCCATCCTGCAGGGTCTCATGTGGTAGTTCTCACCTTCACAGTGAGTGAGGCCAGTTGGAAAATGTAGTTGGTTAAGGCTGAGCCAGGAGAGGACAAGACAGGCCGACCTGCCTTCTAGGTTAGTGTGGTGCAGTGGTAGGGGCATAGGCTCCAGACCGCACTGCCTATGTTTAAATCCTATCTCCAGTACTTACTAGCTATGAGAACAGGTTATTCACCACTCGGTGACTCAGTTTCCTCCTCTAAGAAGTGGGGAAAATCAGAGGACCAGGCTCATGGCTTTAGTAAGGATGAAATGGCAATAAAGGACTTAGCTCAGTGCTTGGAACATAGTAAGTGTTCAGTAAATATGGGCAGTTACTCCAAATATAGAATCCATAGGCATGTAGGCGGAGGCAACTCATTATCCAACCATCTGTACAGCAAGAAACCCCTCTGCAGCCCCTCAACAGGTGGCTTCAGGGGCAGGGAGAGGGAAGGAGGAGTAGATGATTGCTTTAGAACATTCTCAGCCAGGATCTCAAGGGTAGGGAGCTCCCTGTTTCCACTACTGGACAATTCTCCTTGTTGTAAAACTCATCCTCAATTTGGGTTCCAATCAGCCTCCTGAAATGCCCACCCTTGGTCCTGACTTTGCCTTCTGGAGCTGCCCGGGACAGGGTCAAGCTCCCATGCACAAGGCTTTGAAGGTGATTCTCCTGATCCCATTCTCAGGAATGCTTTTTGTTTTTCCCCAGAAACGGACAGGTTTAGGACCTCCTCACCCACACCCTTTGTCTGCTGCAGATGTCCCAGGGCTATTGAGTGTCACTGAAGGGGAGTTCCCTGAGACCAGCACCTGATCCTCACCTACCTCTCCAGGCCCCTTTCTCCAGAGCAGACGTCAATGCCTGGGCCTTAGATACTGAGATGCAACTGAGTCATCTCGAGTTCTTTGCTTCCAACAGTCCCTTCCCTGGGCTCCTGCTCTGGCTGCTGCTGACTCTTGGACTGTTACCCTCCCAGGTCTTCTCTGGAGTTGAAGAACCCCTCAGTTCTGTCCTTCTGCTCCCTGCACTGTCCAATACAGTAACCACTAGCCGCATTCAGCACTTGAAAGGGGCTAGTACGAATGAAGAACGGAATTTTAAATATTATTTAACTTTATTTATTTGAATTTAAAAACTGATACTGGATTCAGTTGTAGGAACACTTTTGAGTAGTTTTGGAACAATTTAGATATGTGATTCTACTTTTCAACTGTAAATTTTATAATCAACCGATGAAAATTTAGAGTCTGAATTGAGATGTGCTGTAAATGTAAAATACATACTGAAGACTTAGTACAAAGAAGAGTGTAAAATATCTAATTAACATTTTTTATATTGCTTAGTGTTGAAATGATCATGTCTTGAGTATACTGAGTTAAAAATATATCAGTAAAGTTAATTTCATCTGTTTTGTTTTACTTCTTTTTTTGACATGGCTATTAGAAAATGTAAAATTACATTATACTTCTAATGGACAGCTCTAGTCTAAACCTTGTCACTACTCAAAGTGTAGCCTGTAGACCAGCAGCATCAGCATCACCTATGAGCTTGTCAGAAATGCACACTCTCAGGCCTCACCCCAGACCCACTGAAGCAGAATCTGCATTTTAACCAAGTCCCCAGGTGATTCCTATGCACATCAAAATTTGAGAGGCCCAACAACTGTTCAGCGGGAGCCCTGGTGGCTCAGTGGTTAAGAGCTCAGCTGCTAACCAGAAGGTTGGCAGTTAGAATCCACCAGCCACTCCTAGGAAACCCTATGGAGCAGTTCTACTCAACAGCAATGAGTTTGTTTTTTTGTTTTTTTTTTTAATTGTTTTTTTAATTGCTTGACTGTTAACCAAAAGGTTGGTGGTTCAAATCCACCCATGTGCTCCCCAAGAGAAAGACCTGATAATCTGCTTTCGTAAAGATTACAGCCAAGAAAATGCTATGGGGCAGTTCTGCTCTGTCACATGGGGTTGCTATGAGTTGGAATCGACTTGACAGCACCCAACAACAAAAGCCCTGGAGAGCTTCTGCTCCTCTTGCCATCTTGCCTGTCCCAGAACAGTGTCTTGCCTGACCTCTCACTTTCTACCAGCTCTGAGGATTGGTGGGAAAATTGATCAAGGACTGTCTTTGCCCACCATCCTCTTCCTCTTTGGGGGCAGGGCAGTGGTGGCAGGGTCTGTGGGCAGCAGAAAAAAAAGGACTGAGAGGGAGCATCTCCTGCCCTGATTCTGGGCTTGGCCCTACCTTTTACAAGCCATTGACCTTCTCAAGCCTCGGTTGCTTCATCTGTAAGATGGGGTGATGATTTTTTTTTTGCAGGTACGTCACAGGGTGTGAGACTCATGGGAGACAATGGGACTGAGGGCCCAGGCTGCCTGCACCCCGCTCCCCCTGCCCCGCCCCCTGCGAGGAAGCCTGGAGACCACAGAAGAGGCTCTGTCAACGCCAGGGATGGACACCATCATGAAGAAGAACATTCCTGTGCACCACAAACACTTTTGAGTCAATGGTACTACCCTGGTAAGGAGTAGGCTACACAGAGCCTTTCAGGACACTAGCAGGCCACGAGGTCTCTTTTGGAAAACAGATCTTTCTGTAGCATTATCTTCTGCTCACAGCCCTTCTCCTGCCTTTCCCTGCCCTCCCCCCCCCCCTTCCCCCCCCCTGCCCCCAAGAGTCACTTTCACATCCACTTTCTCCAGCCAGAACAATAGTGCCATTGTGTGAGAGGAGACGCTGTCCTCATTGGCCCAGATACCTGTGCTGGCCTCATTGGCAGGCAGTCATGGGCTCCCTGGCCTGTTTCTGTTTGACAGGCTGAAGGCAAGGAGGGAGGGGGCTCACAATTTTTGGACTGTGGTAGGTGCCTGTCATGGATTGAATTGTGTCCCTCGAAAATATGTGTCAACTTGGCTAGGCCATGATTCCCAGTATTGTGTGGTTGTCCTCCATTTTGTGATCTGATGTACTTTTCCTATGTGTTGTAAATCCTAATCTCTTCCTGTGGTTAATGAGGCAAGATTAGGTTATGTTAAAGAGGATTAGGGTGGGATGTAACACCCTTACTCAGGTCACAGCCCTGATCCAATGTAAGGAGAGTTTCCCTGGGGCATGGCCAGCATCACCTTTTATCTTACAAGAGATAAAAGGAGAGAAAAGTGAACAGAGAGATAGGGACCTCCTACCACCAAGAAAGAAGAGCTAGGAGCGAGAGTGTCCTTTGGACCCAGAGTCCCAGCGCTGAGAAGCAACTAGACCAGCAAAAGATTGATGACAAGGACCTTCCCTCAGAGCCAACAGACACAGAAAGCTTTCCCCTGGAGCTGGCAGCCTGAATTTGGACTTCTAGCCTCCTAGGCTGTAAGAAAATAAATTTCTGTTTGTTAAAGCCATCCACTTGTGGTATTTCTGTTATAGCAGCACTAGATAACTTAGACAGTGCCTTACTAGCATTATCTCATTCAATCCTAGATGTCAGGTAAAGTGTATAATCCCTTTTTGACAGACTAGGAAACTGAGATTCAGAGGGGTAGGAAGACCTGCCCACAGTCACACACAGCTGGAAGGAAGTGGGGTTCAGGTCACTGTAAAGCCCTGTCTTCATTCAACTCACAAAAGCTGCCCTCCTCAAGAAGTGAAATTAACACAGGTTTGACTGCCCCAAATTGAACCAAACTATTTACCATCAAGTTGATTCCAACTCATGGCAACCCATGTGTGTCAGAATAGAACTGTGCTCCATAGGATTGTTTTTGTTTTTTTTTAATAATATTTTACTGTGTTATAGGTGAAAGTTCACACAGCAAATTAGGTTCCCCTTTAACAATTTTTATACAAATTTTTTCATGCCATTGGTTACAATTTTTACAACATGCCAACATTTTCATTATTTCCATTGATCTAGCTTACCTTTCCCTCCTTGCCTTCTCGTCTTTGCTTTTGGGTAACTGTTGACTGTTTGGTCTCATACAGTTAATTGTTTAAGGGAACACATTACCCATGGGTAATACTGTTTATATTATAAGCGAATCTATCATTTTGCTGAAAGGTGACCTGCGGAAATAGCTTCAATTCTAAGTTCCCTTAGGGTGATAGTCTCGGGGGTTTCTCTAATCTAAATCGGTCCAGTAGGTCTGGCTTTTTTTAGAAATTTGAGTTTTGTTATACATTTTTCTCCCATTCTATCCAGGACCTTCTATTGTGTCCCTGGTTAGAACAGTCGGTAGTGGTAGCTGGGTACCATCTAGTTCTTCTGGTCTCAAGTTTGAAAAGGTTGTAGTTCTTGTGGGCTGTTAGTCCCATGGACTAATTTCCTCCTTGGGGCTTTGATTTCCTTCATTCTCTTTTGCTCCATATAAGTAGAGACCAATAGTTGTATCTTAGATGTCTGATCCATAGAGTTTTTTGTATTTTGTTTTTTATCGTGGTGAAACTATCAGAGGGTTTTCAATAGCTGATTTTCAGAAGCAGATCGCCAGGCCTTTTTTCCAAGGCATCTTTGGGTGGACTCCAACCACTAACTTTGCAGTTAACCATTTGCACCACCCAGGGACTCCATGGCTGCCCAGGGAATGGGATTTCAGAAGTGATGACTGCCCCTTGGCTCCTGGGGAAAGTGACATCACCTCACTCTCCCTGGAAGCAGCCCCAGGGGCCAACAGTCTGGTCACTGCAATTCTTTC